TTTTTTTGGGAGGATTTTGGGATTTTTGGGGGTGGCCTGGGTGGATTTTGGGACTTCTGGGGAAATTTGGGAGGAAATTTGGGAGGATTTGGGGATTTTGGGATTGAGGAGGAAATTTGGGAGGATTTGGGGTGGATTTTGGGGCATTTTGGGTGAATTTTGGAGGGTTTGGGGGGATTTTGGGGATTTTTTGGGTGGATTTTGGGTGGATTTTTGGGATTTTTGGGGTCCCCCCCCAGCCTGAGCCTGATGGAGGAAGAAGAGGAGGAGGAGGAGGAGGAAGAGGAGACCCCAAAATCCCCCAGGGTGAGACCCCAAAAATCCCCAAAATCCTTCCCAAAACCCCCCAAAATTTGGGAAAAAATCCCCCAAAATTTGGGAAGAAATCCCCCCAAAAATTGAGAAAAAATCCCCAAAAATTTGGGAAAAAAGCCCCCAAAATTGGGAAAAAATCCCCCAAAATTTGGGAAGAAATCCCCCCAAAAATTGAGAAAAAATCCCCAAAAATTTGGGAAAAAAGCCCCCAAAATTGGGAAAAAATCCCCCAAAATTTGGGAAGAAATCCCCCCAAAAATTGAGAAAAAATCCCCAAAAATTTGGGAAAAAAGCCCCCAAAATTGGGAAAAAATCCCCCAAAATTTGGGAAGAAATCCCCCCAAAAATTGAGAAAAAATCCCCAAAAATTTGGGAAAAAAGCCCCCAAAATTGGGAAAAAACCCCCGAAAATTTGGGAAAAAATCCCAGAAAATTGGGAAAAAAATCCCAGAAAATTGGGAAAAAATCCCAGAAAATTGGGAAAAAAATCCCAGAAAATTGGGAAAAAATCCCAGAAAATTGGGAAAAAAATCCCCAAAATTTGGGAAAAAATCCCCTAAAATCCCCCAAAATTTTTGGGGAATTTTTTCTTTCCCAAAACCCCCAAATTTTGGGATTTTCCCTCCCCAGACCCCCCTGGAGCAGCCCCGGGACCTTTTCGGCTCCTCCAGCCTCGAATTCCAGGTGAGAATTTTGGGAATTTTTGGGGTTCCCCCCCCAAAAAAAATCCGGGAATTTTCACCTTTGGAATTTCCGAAGATGAAACCCCAAAAATTCCCCTTTTTTTTTTTTTTTTTTCCCTTTTTTGGGCCTTTTGGACCCAAAATTCGGGTCCAGAAAAAATTCCCCGAACCCTGAAAACCCCGGGGGGAAATCGGGGAATTTTTTGGGATCATCCCAAATATTCCAGGGAATTTTTTTTCCCCCTCTTTTCTCTTCCCAGACTTTCTGAAGACGGAATTCCACAATTCCACAATTCCCGGGGTTTTTTCCCTGTTTTTGGGGCTTTTCACCCCAAAATTCCCGAGGTTTTTTTTCCTCTCCCCCCCCCCTCGTTAAAATCCCCGAATTCCTCGGAATTCTGGCCGGATTTTTTTTGGGAATTTTGGGATTTATCCCGAAACTTTCTGAGCTTCCCAACCCTTGGAATCCTCCCGGGTTTTCCCGGTGTGGAATCCCAAAAATTCCCGAGGTTTTTTTTCCCGTTTTTTGCCGTTTTCACCCCGATAAAAATTCCGACGTTGCCGTCGTTTCCCGGCTCGTTTTCTCGGGAATTTTTCGGGAATTTTTCGGGAATTTTTCGGGAGTTTCTCGGGAATTTCGGCCTTCCCGCCCTCTCTGCTCTTCCCAAACTTCCTGAGCCCAGAATCCCGAGTTTTCCTCCCCCGAAATTCCCGTTTTTCCCCCAATAAAAATTCCAAAAAAACTTCACCGTTCCCGGTCTGGTTTTTATTGGATTTTCCCGGGATTTTCGTGGGAATTTCTGGGATTTTCCCGGGAATTTTGCGGGGATTTTCCCTGGATATTCCCGGGGTTTTCGTGGGGATTTTCCTGGGATTTTTCCCAGGTTTTTTGCAGGAGTTTTCCCGGGATTTTCCCGGGGTTTTCCCACGTTTTTTCCCAGGATTTTCATGGGATTTTCACGGGGATTTTCCCTGGATATTCCCGGGATTTTTGCAGGGATTTTCTCTGGATATTCCCGGGATTTTTGCAGGGATTTTCCCTGGATATTCCCGGGATTTTTGCAGGGATTTTCTCTGGGTATTCCCGGGATTTTTGCAGGGATTTTCTCTGGGTATTCCCGGGATTTTCTCCGTGATTTGCCCGTGATTTCCTGGTTATTTTCCCCGATATTTCCTGGATACTTTCCCAGATTTTTACCCAGATTTTCCTGCGATTTTCCCGGGATTTTTCCCAGATTTTCCCGGGATTTTTCCTGGATTTTCCCGGGATTTTTTCCTGGGATTTTTTCCCGGATTTTCCCGGGATTTTTCCCAGATTTTCCTGGGATTTTTTCCTGGATTTTCCCGGGATTTTTCCCGGGATTTCTTCCCGGATTTTCCCGGGATTTTTCCGGGATTTTCCCGGGATTTTCCGGGATTTTCCCGGGATTTTCCGGGATTTTCCGGGGCTATGTCACAGTCTCATGACGTAGGAGTCGCTGTGGGTGAGGCACCGCTCTGTTCCCAGCTTTATTCCCGGTTTATTTCCGGGATATTTTCCCCGTCATTTCCCGGGATTTTTTCCGGGATTTTCCGGGATTTTCCAGGATTTTCCGGGATTTTCCGGGGCTGTGTCACAGTCTCATGACGTAGGAGTCGCTGTGGGTGAGGCACCGCTCTGTTCCCAGCTTTATTCCCGGTTTATTTCCGGGATATTTTCCCCGTCATTTCCCGGA